GTTACTAACTCAAGAGGATTTAGGTATGTTGGATGCTAGCAGAGCCATTAAAACCGGGATATTTTTAAGAACGTGGCACCAAAAAGCCCTAAGCCCTCTCTTGGCACCTGAGGCAGACACAGGATTCAGAGTGGAGTGGGCCATTGCCATGACCCCGAGTGGCATACTGATGCACGAGAAGAACTTCACTTTGCCAGAAATGTCCTCACCAGAGACCACAAAAGTAGATCTTTTGATCATGATTCCAGAGGTGGGGGTGGCCCAGACACCCTAGTCTTAGCAAGCTTCAGGTGAAAATTGACCCCACATACACTGCAGGTCCAGCAGGTGTCCCGAGATGAACTGGGCTTCAGGAACCCTGCTTCCCTGGAAGGTTTGGGGCTCGTGGCCCTTCCTGAGAGCTGCCTCTGTCCCTACACTCAACTTCCTGAAGTTTCTCAAACCTGGCTCAGCAGAAAGATACACGGGGGCCCCGGGCAGGGTGTCATGTGGAGATGTGAGTACCTCATGTTACATGGGTCTGCATCCAGGGCATCAGACTGTCTGTCCTTGTGCCCCTGGCCTCACTATAGATGGAGACTATAGATGTGGCCTGTCTGGGTGTTTGGCTCTAAGTTTCTTTTCTTCTCAGAATCATGATGGCCCCTCCCCTCCCCTCACTTCACCCCCATGTGGTTTCCTCTGGGTGACTTCTTTTCCTCTCTTGCTGGGTGAGGCTGTTCTTCCTGGTTGGAGTCCTGGGACCAGAAGAGGTCTGAAGAGACGTGGATGGGGCAGCTCTGAGCCCAGCCCTAGGCTCTCAAAGCCCACCCTGTGCTTTGCCTCTCCCGGTCCCCCACCTCCTGTCAGCATTGCAGCTCAAGGCTTGGTCCAAAGAGTCCAGGACTCAGGAGACTGAGGACTGAGGAGCACAGAACAGTGAGTGTCCTGAACATCCCATCCTCCCATCCCTGCCCCCTTCACACTCCTGCCTGCCCCCAGACCAGACCCAGCAACTCAGTAACTTGATCCCTTCCTTTGTCTCCCAGCCCCCTCTGGACTCCTCCTTCCTATGCCTTTTCCTGCCTCTCTCCTTCACATCCCTTCTCCCAACATCATCTGTTGGCAGATGCCCTGGGGTTTAGAAAAGTGGGTTCTGAATGCTGAATAGGAGTTTGCCAGGTGACCATAATGACCCAAGTAGAAGTGTTGCATTGGGAGGTGGTAGGGACCAAGGATGACTGCTCTTCTCTGCCTGCCTGATTCCTTCACTACCCACTCCCTCCACAGCAAGCATCCCAAAGGGCTTCCGAATCCCGATGAGTGCAAGAGACTTAACCAGTGCAGCAGAGCAGGTTGGTGCAACAAAGATGACTGAAGGAGTCCAGCAGCGGCTGGCCTGGACCTTGGAGTTTATGAGCAAGGAGCAGCTGAGGGAGTTCCTGCTGCGGCTGCCTGATAAGGATCTCTGCCAGCACTCTCCTGGGGAGACCCCAGCTCAACCAGAGGAGGTGGGTGGCATGGAGGTGGCCTCACTCCTGGTGGCTCAACACGGGGAGCAGCAGGCCTGGAACCTGGCCCAGCAGACCTGGGAGCAGATGGGCCTGAGCCAGCTGTGTGCCGCACCCCTGAAAGAGTCAGCTATGCAGTCAGGTGAGTAGACAAAATTCCCTCTGCTTGCGGTTTATCTCCACACCCTGCTGCACCTCCCACCAAACCTTACCCTGGACAGTGACAGGGAACTGAATTGTCAAAGGGCAGATCCAGACTCAGACTAGATTGCAGCTAAGAGGCGTGTGGGGGAAGAATGCCAAGTGCATTCCCAGCAACCCATGGGTCCTCACGGCCCCTGGGAGGGAGCACTCAGAGGGCCAGAGAGACCAGAGGCTGACTCTCAGGAGGCACCAGCAGAGGGTGTGGGTTTCACACCCACCTCCCAAGAGGCCACTTGCCTGGTTTGTGCTATAAGCACAGAAGGGAGTCCAGGAGAAGCAAGTTCCGGTCCTGGCACCACCACATTGGGCAAGTTGCTTCATTGCTCTCTGCATCTTCTCTCCATCTGTAAAATGAGAGGGTAGGAGCCTGCCCCCTGGACTGTAGGAGGGTAAAGAGGTAATCCATGTTAGACACCTACCAGAGTCCACTTCCTAGTCAGTGCTCAATGAACTGTTCTGTTGCTACTGTTGCTGCCCCCGCGATGTTATTACTACTGACAGCTGTGGGTGGCAGAGGCTCTCAGCCTCATGTGAGGGGACTTGAGGCACAGAGAGGTGTCATGACATATATGGGGAGGTAGAGGCAGAAGCAGAGACACAAACTTCCTGGAGGCCAGATCAGGACAGTTGCTGGGCAGTATCAGGGCACCATTCTCCAATGAGAGGGTGGGGCAGGCTGCAGTGGGCTCACTGGTTCCTCCTGACCTCTCCTAGTTAAGACAGGTCTCTTGTTTTCTGACGCTGTTAATGATGACAGCCAGAACAACACCAGGTGTTAGACCAGAGGGGTCAGACCAGACCTTGGTATTAGAGTTCTGACTAGGGAAGAATTCAGAGCCAAGACTCAAACTGTAAGAGAATTTTTACTTAGAAAATCACAGAGGTATCAGAAATGGATGGTAGAAGAAAGGGGTTCAGGAAACACCTTACAGTAACAAAGGAAGGGCCCTTGGAGCTTGGGAGTGAGGAAGGTAAAGGTAATGGTAATGGGGAAGGGGAGAGGTGCGGAAAGGCATGGGCTTGCACCCAGGAGGGAGAGCGCACTGGGTCCTCCATCCTAAAAGCTTTAAGAGTGGAGATCTTAGAGGAGATCCCAGGGAGGATGTCAATAGAACATTCATCAGCTTTTCAAGTGGGTCCTTTCAGGGTTGTGGTCTGATATAATAGTTGCTAATCCCGCTCTCATTGGTTTCCTTCCTTTTACACTGAACATTTTTCCATCCCTTCCCTTTAGTTTATGTGTGTCCTTAAAGCCAAAGCGAGTCTCTTGCAGGCAGCATAGAGTCAGTCTTGGGTTTTATTGTTGGTTTGCTTTTATTTGTTATCCATTCAGCCACTCTATGTTTTGTGATTGGAGAATTTAATTCTTTCACATTTAAAGTAATTACTGACAGAGAAGGATTTGTCAATTGTTTTTGTGCTTCCTTTATTCCTTTCCTCCTCTCTTGGTGTTTTCCTGTGTGATTTGATTATTTCCTTTTCTTTTTCTCCATTTTAATCCTCAACCAAGGATATGTTTTTATTGATTTTGAGAGAGGGAGAGAGAAAGAGTTGGAGGAAAGAGAGAAATGTCTATCTGTTGCCTCCCCTACATACCCAGACAGGGGATTGAACCAGCAAACTTCTGGTGCATGGAAAGACACTCCAACCATGTTAGCCATGTGGCCAGGGCTTGATGGTTTTCTATAGTGGTGTGCTTTGATTCCTTTTGTTTTATTTTGTGTAGCTGCTATAGGTTTTTGCTTTGTGCATAGCATGACACTTACATAAAATACCTTATGCTTATGAGTCTATTTTAAACTTATAACAATTTAATTTCAATCACATACAAAAATCTACCCTTTACTCCCTCATATTTTTGTTTTTGCTGTCACATTTATATTTTTTATATTGTGTCTCCATGTCCAAATTATTTTAGCTAGAGTTATTTTTAATACTTTTTTTCTTCTTTTTTTCCTCTTGGAGTTTCACTCATTAAATTTATGATTTCAATATAATAAAAAATGTGACAGAAAAAGAAAACACACAAGTAATAAATGTGTTAAACTCCTCCCTTCAGGCACTGACCATTCAGTAAATGCTCAGTCATTGCTGTCCCATCATTGAGTTGGAGTTTACCTAAGATAAATCACACATAGTTTTGTCATAATACTGTTTATTACAATAGCCAGGAGACTCAGCATGCAGGTTTAGGAGGTGTCAAGACCCCTTCTTCAAATGTAGGAATGTACCATCTCTAGACAGTTGCTTAAAAGATAAAGAAGTAAAAATGTAAAGAAAACAGAATGCAATTCCTTCATAAACTTTCTATGTCTCTTATTACCAATCACATATTCCTTGTAAATCCTGAAAAACTTCACTGTAAAAAAAAAATTATGCATGTGTGTGTATAGTGTGTGTGTATGTGTGTGTGTGTGTATAGTGCGTGTGCGTGTGTGTGCATATAATGTGAGTGTGTTTAATGTGTGTGTGTGTGTGTGTGTGATCACAATTTGCTGATGAGAATAGCCACAAAAGTTATGCGATTTTTTTCTAGTTACATAATAGTTGGTGTGACTAGAATTTGAATTAAAGTTGGTCTGACTCTGAACTCCATTCTTTCTCCCATGCACCATGGTATCTCTACACTGCCCTTGATGTAACATATTTTGACACCCACAAGGCATTTGGCAAAATTTCTCACAGTTGATTGGATATGAGATGAAAAAATAAGAACTAGACAGTTATATGGTTGTATGAATTAAGCCAATTATGGCAATAGCACATACACTAACCTGAATCATTCAGATATTTTCAAAGTAGCCAAGAGGGAATTAAATAATGAACTTTCAGGAATGAATGTAACTTTACAGTGTCTTAAACTAGCACCAACACGCACAAGAAGCAAAATCCCTCAAAAGTCCTTCTAGGGCCCGCTGGTGTTGCTCAGGGGGTAAGGGTTGATCCATGAATCAGGAGGTCGTGGTTTGATTCCCAATCAGGACACATGCCTGGGTTGTGGGCTCCATCCCCAGTAGGGGACATGCAGGAGGCAGCCTATCAATGATTCTCTCTCATCATTGATGTTTCTAACTCTCTCACACTCTCCCTTACTCTCTCTGCAATCCATAATAAAAACATATTTTAAAAATAAAAGTCCTTCTAGAAAAAAGTAGATCATGTTCAATGTTAAAGCATAGTGAATCTGGCCCACTGCAGTGTAGGTCAGTAGTTTGAGTGTCAGCCCATGGACCAAAGGGTCGCAGTTTAATTCCCTGTCAAGAGTAGATACCTGGGTTGCAGGTTCGATTCCCGACCCCAGTCAGGGTGCATGTGGGAAGCAACCAATCAATGTATTTCTTTCACACTGATGATTCTCTCTCACTCTCATTCTCTCTCTCTGTCTTTCTTTCCTCCCTCCCTTCCACTCTCTCTGGAAATTAATGGAAAAAATATCCTCAGGTGAGGATTAACAACAACAAAAATATATATAGTGGATCTGCCTCCTGAGGTGCTACAACAGGCTTTCCAGGGAGGGGAAAGATAATGGTCTTTACTCGTCTTGGCTTGGGTGTAATCACAGGTGTGGACTAACCAGCCCCTGCATCAGCCCTCCTTTGAATCTCACTCTGGCACTTACTTGCTGGGTGATCTTGGGAAAATGACTTCACCCTTTTGAGTGTCAGATTCCTCATTTATAAAAAGAGGGTTGTCAAACTCAAAGGCTAACACGGGCCAAATAAACAAGGTTTAAGTTTATGTGGGCCACAAATAAACAAAAGCTTCAATTTTCATAGAAACATAGGTTTATTTCATAGAGATATGCTGAATACAAAGGACTAGAATAAATGAGTCATCGTTAACATAAAATAATAAAATATTTTAATAAAAATTAATATTTTTTTGAACATTAACTTATCAGACACTGAAGAACTGCACAAATTAATAAGCGTAAGGCAAATAAGCCTGTTTTTCTTGTTCTCCAAAAGCGAAATATTTCCTGTTGTGCACACCAAACAAGTCAGTCTAATACTAATGACGTGGCAATCGGCTGCTAAAATATTCACTGCTAGAATTAGTGGAGAGAAATGGTGCGCCTGTGCATAAGGCACGTAATGGAAATGAATGTAACACGATTATGTAATCAGTCATTAGCAAAAGTTGTAGTTCGTCATTAATAATTATGTATAACAGGATATTGTAAAAATTAAGTTACAAAATTTTTATTAAAATGTTTCTTACATGCTGTTATATTGGCTGGGCCACAAAAATATTCGTTGTGGGCTGCATGTGGCCTGCAGGCCATGAGTTTGACATCCTTGATGTACATGCATATCTCATGCAGTGGTCCTTATAAATCAGGGATGGGGAACCTTTTTTCTGCAAGGGCCATTTGGATATGTATAACATCATTTGTGAGCCATACAAAATTATCAACTTAAAAATTAGCCTACTGTCCTAGCCAGTTAGGCTCAGTGTGTAGAGCATCAGCCCTTGGACTAAAGGGTCCTGGATTTGATTCCAGTCAGGGACACGGACCTTGGTTGCAGGCTCTATCCCTGGACATGGTCGGGGCCCATGTTTCTCTCTGTCTCTCCCTCTCCCTTCCACTCTCTCTAAAAATCAATAGAAAAATATCCTCAGGTGAAGATTCTCTCTCTCTCTCTCTCTCTCTCTCTCTCTCTCTCACACACACACACACACACACACACACACACACACACACAAAATAGCCTGCTATGTTTGGTCAAACATTTAATTAACTCACCCCTAATGCCTTGGCAGGGCCAGACCAAATGATTTCATGGCCTTATACAGCCCATGGGCTAGACGTTCCCTACCCTTGTTATAAATAGTAGCAGTATTATAATTTATCCTTATGTTAAATGATCTTCTTCATTCTGCTCTTTGGAGCTGACAAAAGAATTTATCTCCAACCCCATGGGAAAGCCCTTCAGGTACCTGAATATGGATCATAGCCTCCCTTAAGTCACCTCCTGTGCAAGTTAAACAGTTCTATTTTCTTCCATCATTCCTCTTTTTTAAAAATTAAATCTTTATTGTTCAGATTATTACATTTGTTCCTCTTTTTCCCCCCCATAACTCCCCTCCTCCCAGTTCCCACCCTACCCTCTGCCCTCACTCCCCACCCACTGTCCTCATCCATAGATGCACGATTTTTATCCAGTCTCTTCCCGCATCCCCCACACCCCTTTCCCCAACGCAAGAATAGTCAGTCCATTCCCTTTCTATGCCCCTGATTCTATTATCATCACCAGCTCCTTCTGTTGATCAGATTATTTATTCACTTGATTCTTAGATTCACTTGTTGATGCATATTTGTTGTTCATAATTTGTATCTTTACCTTTTTCTTCTTCCTCTTCTTAAAGGATACCTTTCAGCATTTCATATAATACTGCTTTGGTGGTGATGAACTCCTTTAGCTTTTCCTTATCTGTGAAGCTCTTTATCTGACCTTCAATTCTGAATGATAGCTTTGCTGGATAAAGTAATTTTGGTTGTAGGTTCTTGGTATTCATCACTTTGAATATTTCTTGCCACTCCCTTCTGGCCTGCAAAGTTTCTGTTGAGAAATCAGCTGACAGTCGTATGGGTATTCCCTTGTAGGTAACTGAGTTTCTTTCTCTAGCTGTTTTTAAGATTCTCTCTTTGTCTTTTGCTCTTGGCATTTTAATGATGATGTGTCTTGGTGTGGTCCTCTTTGGATTCCTTTTGTTTGGGGTTCTCTGCACTTCCTGGACTTGTAAGTCTATTTCTTTCACCAGGTAGGGGAAGTTCTCTGTCATTATTTCTTCAAATAGGTTTTCAACATATTGCTCTCTCTCATCTTCTGGCACCCCTATAATTCAGATGTTGGTACACTTGAAGCTGTCTCAGAGGCTCCTTACACTATCTTCATATTTTCGGATTCTTTTTTCATTTTGCTTTTCCGGTTGGGTATTTTTTGCTTCTTCACATTTCAAATCTTTAACTTGATTCTTGTGCTCCTCTGGTCTGCTGTTGGGAGTCTGTATAATATTCTTTATTTCAGTCAGTGTATGCTTAATTTCTAGTTGGTCCTTTATCACAACATCGAGGGTCTCATTAGATTTCCTGAGGATCTCAGTACATTTATCGGCGGTCTCACCAGTCTTTTCGAGGGCCTTACTAAATTTATCGGCAGTCTCACCAGTCTTTTCGAGGGCCTTACTAAATTTATCGGCGGCTTCTAGACAGTTCTTGAGAGACCTTAAAAGTGTGGTTTTGAGCTCTATATCCAGCATTTTGCCTTCCTCCATGTCTGTCCTGTTTCTTTGTCTCCGCTTTTTTTTTGCTTTCTTGGTGCACCCCCTAGTGGTCTTTGTGCGCTGTCTTGTTGTAGTTAAGCCTTGATTGTTGTAGGTAACACTGGGGGGTATTTGACCTCCAGGCCAACTGGCTGTGAGAATCAGCTGTGTCTGCAGTGGGAGAACTTCTGTCCTCTAGGGAGGTGCTAATCTAGCCTTTGCCTGAGGCTAACCAGCAAATGCCTCCGTGCAAGGCTTGGGCGGGGTGGGTCACAGGGGATCAACAAGGTGGGCCGAGTGAGCAGTTATGGCTGCTCTCAGTCTGGTCCCCAGAGGCTCTGCCTCTCAGTGTCCCAGCGACCACTGCAAGTACCTCGGAGAGAAAGCTGCCCTCAAGTTCTGACCAATGCCAGACAGTCCCGTTTCTCCCGTTTGAGTCTGGTTCCCCAGAGACTTGCCCGGAACTGGAACTCAGAGCCTGAGACTCCCTCCCGATTAAAACAGACAACCACACCCTCAGCCACCAGCCCGCTCCACATGCACCTCCGCACCTTTGTATTTTTCCGCAGTGCGCCTCCTCTGAGTCTTGGTATGCTTTTCTCTTTCTTTCTAGTTGTAGAATTTCCCCTCAGCCAGCCTTCCTGTGGTTCTGGATGATGTCCGTTCCATCTTTTAGTTGTGTTTTTGAAGTGGTTGTGCGAGGCAGCATTCTCCGGTGTTTACCTATGCCACCATCTTGGTTTCCTCCCATCATTCCTCTTACAGTTTGGATTTTAACATCTTTGCCTCCTCAGTAGATGTGCCCATTTGAGGATGAGCCAGGATAGACTCTAAGACTGTCCCGTCAGCATGGAGGACATGGAACACCCTCCTCCCTCCATCCAAGTGAACCCGCTGCTCCCAACACCACAACCCGAGCTCCCCTGTGTTTCACTTCCCTCCCACACTGTCAGGTCACACTGAACTTGGGTCGGCTCAAAACCTCAGTCCGTGTCCACAGGGGCTGCTGTGGACTCCCCCTTCCTCTCCACATGCAAGTAATTATTTAATCCCCTTTTTGTTTGTTTGTTTTCTATTGAAATTTACCTATTACTCTGAGGTGCTAAGATTTTCTTGATGATAATTTTTTTTTAATTTTTATTTATTTTTATTTATTTTATTTTTTTATTGCTTAAAGTATTACAAAAGGTATTACATACATACATGAGCATACTTAAATTAAACATTATTCTTTGTTTATCTCAAAAAATTATAAACATAAATTATACAGCACTTTTTAACTTACTGGTATATTTCCTTGATATTCTAACTCTCTTTTTTTTTTTTTCGCTAAAAGTATTACAAAGGGTATTACATAAGTGTCCTTTTTTCCCCCCCCACCCTTGACAAGCCCCTGCCCTCCCTTACCCCCCAGTGTCTTATGTCCATTAGTTATGGTTATATGGATGCATACAAGTCCTTCGGTTGATCTCTTACTCCCCTCCCTCCTGTCCCCCAACCCTCCCTGGCCTTCCCACTGCAGTCCGACAATCGGTTTGAGGCAGCTCTGCCACTGTATTTATTATTGTTCAAAAGTTTGTAATGGTCTTAATTATCCATGAAAGAGTGAGATCATGTGGTATTTTTCCTTCATTGACTGGCTTGTTTCACTTAGCATAATGCTCTCCAGTTCCAATGATGATAATTCTTGATTCTGACATCAGACTCCAGAACAAACAGTGTGGGGATCAAAGTGCAAAAAAGGTCAAGGAGGTAGATTTATGCTCAGAATAAGGAGATCTCATCGTTGAAGATATCTAGCAAAGGTCTGGGATATTTCTCCACCAGAGTTCCATTCAGGCCAAGACAGAATTAAACCCTGTGCAAAGGGGGGTAAAGAGGAAAATTGGGCCTCTGTTTCCCAATAAGCATAAAGAAATGATTCATCAACATTGTGTGAATGGGCACTTGCAACGCTTAATCCTTATTCTGTCAGAATTAGTCTGTAGCTTGTTCTCAGAATAAATCTCAAAAGAGATAAGTAGGTAGGAGTTTCAAGGCTTATTGTTTGTGTTAATAACTATCATTGATACTGATGCTTATTCATATCTCTTTTCCTCCAGGAGACTTCGGATCTGCAGCTACCCTGACAGGTCAGTAACAGCTGTTAGAGGCCACAGGAGCCATGGCAGTTCTGGAATATCCTACTTGGTCCTGGAGGGAGGGAGGAGAGAAAGAAAGGGGACTCATTAAACCTCACAAGGGTTCAGTCCTTGGAGAGGTGTGTGCCCCAGGGCAGAGTTCTCCCCCATCCCTTTTATTCCTGCCCATCATGGCTCTGGCACCTTCCACTGAACAATCTCAAATGTCTCCATCATGAACCTGACCCCCACCCTTAGCTCAGCAGAATGCTAGGCTGGAAGTTGACATGAGGGAGGGCAGAGGTACCTTTCTAGTGGTCCAGGAAACGTGTGGGGATCAGGGAGGAGCCAGGGATGCAGATAAAGAGAGTGAAGAGTTAGGTTGGGGAATTAGGGGGAGAGGATGTGATGGAAACCCTTTCTTATTCATTACTGGCCTCACCTTCACCCCCAGATGCCCCTACTTTGCTGCACTTTGTGGACAAGCATCGGGAGGACCTGGTGGCTCGAGTGACATCGGTGGATGCAGTTCTAGACAAGCTGCATGGACAGGTGCTGAGCGAGGAGCAGTATGAGAGGGTGCGGGCTGAGCCCACCAATCCGGACAAGATGAGGATGCTGTTCAGCTTCAGCAACTCCTGGGACAGGGCCTGCAAAGATCAACTCTACAGAGCCCTGAAGGAGATCCATCCTCACCTAATTGTGGATCTCTTGGAGAAGTGACGCAGTGGAGGAGACCAGGGAAGCTACTGACATGCTCGGCAGCTGAAGTCTGAACACCTGCTTATAAGTCCTGGCTCTGACTGTCCAGGCTTTGGGTCTAGGTTTCTTCATGTCTAAACACATTGCCATCGCCCAGCCAGAGAGGCTCAGCTGGTTGAGTGTTGTCCTGTGCACCAAAGGGTTGCTGGTTCAATTTCTGGTCAGAGCACATTCCTGGGTTGCAGGTGCAGAAAGCAACTGATTGATGTTACTTATGTTTCTCTCTCTCTCTCTCTCTCTCTCCCCCTTCTTCCTTCTCCCTCTCTCTGAGCATGTCCTCAGTGAGGATAAATAAATAAACAAACAAACACATTTCCATTTGAGTTGCCTTCTTGCCCTAAAGTTATGGAGCATTGATAATACCTTTGCTGGGCATTATATGGCCATGCTCAGTGATGCCACATGGGCTCCCAGTCTGCCTCCCTATTATTAGGGACCAGTAGATATTTGTATATCATGACACTACATTTTTTATATCATGATACTACATTTATGTATCATGTTACTACACTATAATAAGGCAGAATACTGGGTAGACAGAGGGCCTAAGATTGAGAAATATGTGGGAGACGTTAGTTTTAGAGTGCACAGTGCATTTACTTGTGAGACAATACAGAGGGCAGCACAGGAAGCCATAAGCTCTCTCAGCGGTTCTCAACCTGTGAGTTGTGAACCCTGAAAATACATCCTGCATATCAGATATTTACATTATGATTCATAACAGTAGCAAAATTATAGTTATGAAGTAGCAAGGAAAATAATTTTATGGTTGGGGGTCACCACAATGTGAGGAATTGTATTAAAGGGTCGTGGCATTAGGAAGGTTGAGAACCACTGCAAGTAATGGGAAGACAAGGGTAGACTATTGGGTAGTGCTGCTATTGCAAAAGAGAGGCAGGAGCAGGAAAGGATGAGCCCAGATAGTGATGGGTTAATAAAAGGCAGAGAAGAGCCAGGAGGAAGGACTCTAGGTCCTGCAGGGCCAACCCCTACTAATTAGAGCCTGAGTGTCAGCCACCATCCCCTCTGCACCCCTAGAATTTCCCTGTAACCTTGCTCCCATGACACCTTACCCCCTTCAGAACAGGCCTGGGAAGGCATGGTCCGACCCGGGCAGGGATCCCTGCCTTTGGTCAAGGGAGGAAGGTCCTGGGTCCTCCCTGACTGGGAAGCTTCAGCCCTGGGGCTTGCAAAAATGAGCTCAGGGCTGGTCAGTGCCCAGAGAAAAGAGCTTTATTGCTCGGGCTCCCACAAGACAATTTCCGCACCACACAATGTCATTTGGATACAAACCTGGCAACACCGACAAAGCCTCTAGAAGCGTCTAACTGGGCAGCATTGTGTGCATCTGTTAACAATTGCACCAGCACAATTAATAAAGTGACCCTTTCATATCCACTCCCTCAGTCAAAACCAATGACTACGTTCCCACTACTTCCCCTGATAGCACCCTGTGTCAGTGCACCGTCAGGGCCTACTACAGCAGCAAGGCTCAGGGCAGACACTGAACCAATGTTTGCTGAATAAGCAACGAATGAATTCTCAAGTGACAGTGCTCCTTTACAAGTTGTGTAGGTTGTCCCCCACCTCCACTGTCCCCCACCCCGTCATTACACACACACACACACACACACACACACACACACACACACACACGCCAATCTTCATTCCCTCTGCAGAGTTGAGTCCTTCTCAGTCCCTGACCTCCCCTAACAGGAACACCTTCCACCTGAGCTACTTTAGCTCTTAGATTTCATCACCCAGGCTCCTCCCAGCACCGGTAAAAGGTTTCCCGCCACAGTCTGGAGGACCCCAGCCAGGACCCCCATCTGCGAAGCCCACAAGCTAAGGGACTGTGTCCTAGGATGTCTGCAGCCTCTGGTCCCGCCCTCCAGGACTCAGTGAGGAGCTTCCCTTCCTGGCAGGACAGCTCCTCAGGCGATGGGCCTCTGCTCAGCTCCCAAGCAATGGTGGTGGCTGCAGGGAAACCTAAAGCAGGAAGAACTCACAGTCCGGGTCAGCCCGAACCCCTGGGAACAGGGCGCACCACCCTGACAAAGGCTGCTCACTGTGCCCCGCACTCCTGCAAAGTCCCTGAGTGCTCAGGCTCCCAGCTCCCACGCTCAAAGACCTGTCTGCGCAGCTCCTGGCACAGCTGCCTCCTCCTGGGCAATGCCCAGCCCTGGCCAGGGCGTCCACCCTCTCCACAGGCCTCTTTGGAAGACTGTGGGCAGTGGTTGGCTCATCCCTTACAGAACAGTCTGGAGGCTGTGCGCGCCCTAAACACACAATGACAGGTTCCCTGCGCATGCCCCCACCTCACAAAGTGGATGGGTCCGCAGATGTTATCCTATTATCAACTGCACCCCAAGATTCTAAATATTGGGATCTAACTGCCCTCTCGTCTAACATTCAGGTGCAAACATAGACCCTTATTTTATTATTGGCAGCTGCTTCAACATCTCTACTGATGGACAAAGGTAGTGACAAGCAGAAAAGAAAAGAAACAAACATTAAAAGCTAAAGCAGGACCTGGAAGCAGGGCGCCGGTGGGCGGTCCTTCCCAGACTCTGGGCGGGGCCCTCGGGGGAACACAGTGACACAGTTTGGTGGTTTTTCATGTTTCTGCAGGGCTGTTGCTTAGTTGCGAGCATATCTGGTTCCAAGGAGAAGACTGGGAGGGGGCACAGGGGCTGAAGAACTGGGAAGCAGGCAGGGTTGCAGCCCTGGGAGCTCCACTTCACAGCAGCATCACAGGAACCCTTAACCAGGGGTGGGGGGATTTGGGAGGAGGGAGCTGGCCTCAGAGGAGCAGGAGGCAGGGGAGGTTCAAAAGTAAGGGGAAGTCCAGGTCTTCATAAGAACCAGGAGCGGTGTGCTGAAGGAGCCCAGTAGCAGGACATGAGCCAGCTTCTCCTTGGCTCCTCCCATGGTGCCCAGCCCTGGTGCTGGAGGAAGGTGGGAGGAGGCGGCTTCTCCAAGCTGCCATGGGGTTGGGCCTTGAAGGCAATAGGTAGGAGTTGAGGTCTTGGTGTTGGCATAATAATGCAGTGATTCTTAATCTTTTGGGGAGTAGTGACTCCCTTTAAAATGTTATAAAAGTTATGAGCCATCGGAAAAACAAAACGAAACAAAAAATTATGAACTGAGGGTTCAATATTTTGACTTCAGAAATTTGTCTTTGGTTCCGTCTGGCACAAAGGGCTCTCTCTGGCGTTGAACTGATGGAAGGAATAAACCATCTCTGCTTTACATCATTACAACCTGAAAGTACTTCCACAGTGCAGGGACAGCAGCGCCTGGCGGGCTCCACCCCACCCTACCGCAGAGAGCTTTTCCTGAAGTGCCTGTGGCATTAATGTGTGTTAAGGTAGCTCCTGTGGGCCTGTGTCCTGTATGGGATCTTAGGTCCTCAACAAAGAACACGCAGCGATGCTCGCTGAAGCCCATCAGCAGGGCCGGGAAGGGCTGCGGCGCCCTCTGAGTGTGTAGCCTGGGGAGGGAGGCCCTCTGTGCTGAACCGGGTCAGTAGCTCAATGACTAGCAGGGAATCTGTGCGTTCAAATCGAGGTGCTGTGAATGGAGGAATCTATTGCCGGGCCCCACAGATATTGCTCCCATCAGAGAGAAAAAAAATTCCTCCTGAACCACATATCATTCCATTTCTTAGAGCAACGGTTCTCAACCTGTGGGTCGCGACCCCTATGGGGGTAGAACGACCCTTTCACAGGGGTCGCCTAAGACCATCGGAAAACACATATATAATTACATATTGTTTCGGTGATTAATCATTATGCTTTCATTATTTTCAGTTTGTAACAATGAAAATACACCCTGCAAATCAGATATTTACATTACGATTCATAACAGTAGCAACATTACAGTTATGAAGTAGCAATGAAAATAATTTTATGGTTGGGGGTCACCACAACATGAGGAACTATATTAAAGGGTTGCGGCATTAGGAAGGTTGAGAACCACTGTCTTAGAGGGAATTCAGCTCCATTAAAATCTTATAGGACCACCGTAGGATATGCGGTTCACTGCAGACTGGAACATTGTTATGCGGCACCTGACCATAGTGTGAATGTCTGACCCTATCTAAAAGAATAAATGATAGTACCTTCATACAAATAAAATTCTACATGGACCATTTTAGAAAGTGCCATATGTACCGACTTGGAAAGAAGCCTACAACATATTGTAAAATGAAAAAGGGAAGTTGCAGCACAATATGTATAGCATTAACACTCACTTTGGATTTTACAAGCCATATTTAATAAAAATAGCTAATGATGTATTGAATATTCTTTGCCAGGCACTTATCTAAATATTTAATCCTTATAACAATCTCATGAGATAAGTACTATTCCATTCTTTCAGATGAAGAAACTGAGGCACCGAGAAGTGAAGTGATTTTCTCAAGACTGTGGGGATGGTGAAGTGCTGGAGCCCAGAATCGGGCCTGGCAACCTGACCCCTGAGCCGGCACCGTCAACCACGTGTCAGGAGCTTAGGACCAGGTCTCGGACTGGGCTGGGAGAGGAAGCGCCTTTCTCTGCCCACTTTCCCCATTTACATGTTGTTTGATTTGTTACAATGAGCATGTAATTGGAAAATAAAAATTTTATAAAAGCGCTCAACCATGTGGCATCCTTGCCTGGGATGGGAGCCAAGAGAGGGTGGAGGGAACCACAGACGTTCTTCTCAGGCTGGTCTGAGCTCAAACCTGACTTCGCATTATCCCCCCTACATGCACCTTTCTCATCAGCCAGCAAAGGGACAAGGGAAAGGGCCCAACTTCGGTGTAAGACAATCTGTCTTCCAGCTCTGTCCTGGCACTGACCAGGGGCCTGGACTTTGAACCGCATCTTAACCTCTGCGCCCCCTTCTCAGCTGCAGACACTACCACCACCATCAGGGCTTCCTGCCAGGCTCAGAGAGCAGGACTGGCAAGCAGCAGGTGGCTGCTGAACCTGCTCTGCCCCCTGCTCTCTGTACCTGTGGCTCCTGGGGACCCCGCTGCACTTGAATTCAGGCGAAGTCTTGGGCTGACCTCATCCGTGAAGGTTTATTGTCCCCATGGCATCCACATCCAACCAGGTCCAAACTCAGTTTAGAGGAAGAGGGTTTCACAACAATATTACGAATTCAAAAACCAATGACTCCGGAG